TCTTTCCCTCTGAAGTTGAACATAGTTCATTTGCTAGGTTTTCTACCAAGCTGGTGGGCAAAATGAGATGCTCCAAGGTACTTTATGTCAGTGAACAATCTGCCTCGGACAACACTTTACTCTAGGGTAGCTTTCAGCAGCCATTCATGCTACTTTTCAAACCTCAATGGAAGTTGTTTAAGGTGCTTCACGATACAGTGTAAACAGTGTTCTGGATATTAATTATATAGGATTCCTGTGATCCTGAAGGGGGAATTTTTGTTATTCTATGTACAATATTGTTTATTCTTTTGTTGTTTTCAAGATTTGCAATTAGTGATAATTGACAACGGTCACATTTTCAGGAGAGAAGACCTGAGGTTCATGTATGGTTGTAACGGTTGTATGACTACAAGCACAAATTAGGTATATGAACGTACAAGTCACCTTCTAGGTGTGTAATTCATGTAGGCAACTGGGTACTTTGGGAGCTGAGTCATGGTACTTACTCATGTCTTTTTATATACCTACCTCATGCCACTTCCTTATAATGTAGCCTTGTTTAGCATGTTAGCTTTAGCAAATATGAAAAACCATTAAAGAGAATACCCATGTTCTAGAATTTGATCTCATTTTCAGCAGCATCTTTTCAGAACATTAACATAACTTAAGTAGCACAGTGATATTTTTGTGTCCACTCAAATGTGGCTCCTCACTGCTTTATGTGACACACAAAGGAAAACACGTTACACAAAATGCTGCGATATAATCACCAGTAAGATATAAGAACTCTTTGTGTTCCTACTGATCAACTTTTTCAATTAACCTGTTGTGTTTGTGTAGAGGTAAGTCTGTATTGCATGCCTTTGTGAGGCACAATTCTAATTGCCTATAAGCAAAATTAAATACACCATGTAAGCTATTTCTCCAGTTATTTTAGTAGTATGTGAATAGTATGTCCCTTTAGTAGACTCAAACAGAGAATGAAGCAGGATTGAGTTAATTCTTTTCTTTGCAGTTATTTTTTCCTTTGACTAGTCCAAAATTTGCAACATAAGTGATTTAAAACTTCAGGAATAAATTTCTGTTTCCAACCTGTGTTTAGTTCTCCTATGCAGCATGTTCTTTAGTCGCTATTTTCACCGTAATGTTAAAGTTATTTTGAGATTAAGCCAAGAAAAAGAGAGTGCTATGTGAATGTTATCTCTGTGCAATGCTTATGAATGAAAGACAATTCTCTCTTGTGAAATTAAGCCTTACGTAAATCTTTGGTATGGCCACCTCTACTCCTTGCTTATTAACATTTTATTTTATTCTTACCATCAAAACGTTGTACGTGGTAGCAATGAAATGTCAGTTCCAAGGGGAGTTCTGACATTGAGATACGTGGCATGACTGAAGTGGCAATAGTCTCTGTCACTGACATTTCATTCCTGCCATGAATTTTAATGATAGCTTCATCATACAAGGCAGGTTCACATTAAGCACAAGCAGTGTCATTCGCTGTGCCAAATTCATCCTAGGTCTTAATCCATTGACTTGATTGGAGTTGCATGTAAGAGAAGTTTGGCTCTCCAGGCTTTGAGCACTAAAGCAGATAAATGTTTTCATTTGGCAGCCAGGGGGAAAAAAAAAATCTTAATCAATCTTAAGTGACTTCAGTCTCTAAAAATCTGTGATTAGTTGCAGATCTAGTCTCCTTAAACAAAGCAGCACTAAAATGCACTTTTTAAGCTTTGTATGCCTATGTTAAAGAATGTTTTCATGGAAACCTTATGACATACAGCCTGTTTTTAGAACATCAAATCCTCATGACACTTCCAGGATAGCTGTGTATGCCAAACCATGCAATGTGATTCATAAGTAAAATTAACCTAGGAGTGATGTGCCAAACAGTTTGGAAAAATGTAGGCACCTCTGAACCTGAGGGAATAAAGAGTGCTCTCTTCACGGAGAGGAGTGAGTGTCACACCTATCATTACTCATACAGAAACAGAGCTGTAGAAGGAAGCATGAGAAGGAGGTCATCAAAACCTTTAACGCTTTGGAAATACGCTACACACTTCTCTTAAATGCTTATTTCTAACCTGCAGTATAGTCAGAGTAAAGTAATCAATCAATAATTGTAGCAGTGCTCTTTAATTCTGAGCTAATGTTTGAGCTAGCTAGAGGCCCATATACTAGAGTATCAATCTTTGTTCGTCTCTTCTATGTCACTGCATTCAGCTGACGATAAGTGAAAAATGGGTAACGTTTCATTGAAACTTCTTTCTAGATAGGTAGGCTTAACGAGCTTCCTCTAACATGTGGGCTTGTCACAGTAAGGCTGAGTTATCTTAAAAAGCGGTTGAACAGGTCTATCTGTATTCAGCCAAGCAGGATTTAGCTTTCCATATATTGATACTTCAGATCAGTTCCCAGTTTCTTCTCTTGCTCCACCATCCCCTTTTGTGTCCCTCAATGAGCCCTCATATACGCCAGACAGTTACCTACCAAGCCTGTAAAGTATACTGCTTTATCATTGCCAATGATATTTTGACCCTGATCCATCGTGAACGTCATTTACACCTTTTACATCATCAATTTTGTTTTGTACTGTCTTGCTTTCAAACGTGGTATCTATCCATCATATTTTCCAGTCCTTTCCATTCCTGTGATCAGCTTCTTTCTAAATCTCCTGTCTCTAATTTCTCTCTTATAATCCCCATTACATCAGTTTAACCATCTGATTGCTCTTAGTGTTGACTGAGAAACTACGTTACAGAGCTTGTTGAATCTTGTTCTTGTTTCACAATGCTCTGAGTTCCCACAGTACCACTGTGGTACACAGTGTAAGTGTATATATTATAAGTATCTTGGGATATATTATATTATAGTATATATATAATATATACTTATATTATAAGTATATAATATATACTTATATTATAAGTATATATTATAAGTATATATTATAAGTATATATTATAAGTAACTTGGGATTCCTTTCTGTAGTTAGGAAGTCCATTTTAAGTCAAAGGTCACACGCAAGCATGCGTTAGCACACGTGTGTCCAAAGGATGCTTGTTTACTGAGCGTGGTCATTCAGCTAAGTTGGAGGAAGACGAAATCATGCCTTAAAGCCAGTCCATATTAAGCTTTCTTTCATCAGTTGCCACCTTGCCAGTTAGTCCTTTCCTGGGACTACTGATTTTTGTATCTGTCTTGCTTATCTATTAGAATTCTTCTCTCCTTGCCCAGCTCCACAGGTACTGACCTAACTCACCACAAACCTCAGAAAACTGTTTCCCTCAAAGCAAGACAATTGCCAGTTCTTACGCCAGTTCTGGACACGGTTCCACAACTATGGCCAACAAGGTGCTGCCTTCACTATTTTGGAAGCTTTGCACACCAGATCAAAGACGAGGACTATTTTTAGCAAGAAAACCTGCATTCTCATGGTCCCTGTGGTTAATGGAACACATACCCCAAATTACACTATATTTTCTGGTTTCCTCTTGCTGTAGCAGTGACTAAAAAGGTCATGATCACTGGAAGCACATGAATATTTATCACTCAGGCAAGTGAATTTTTTTACACCCTTTCTTGGTGTTACTCCTGCACATTGGTGGAGTTGAAAGAATCTTGGATGAACAGGACAAAAGTTTTCTTAACAAACAAATATGATCAGGAAACTCTGCTCAAGCAGCTAACATTCCCAGCTTTCTCCTTAATACAGCACGTACATACAGACACACACAAAAACACAGGGGGAGAGAGAGTTCAAACTTACCCCCTTGTGATTTATCTTTTATTTGTTGGTTTAAATTGTGAAACTGAAAGCCGAGCCTGATCTTTTTCTTGAGCTTGACTGCTTGGGACTGATTTTCCCTATGGGACTTCTTTCTCCCTGTCCCTACTTCCCTTGGCCTTGGAGCATCAGCGTGTGAGTTCTGGACTTCTGTGTTAGCTCCTGTAAGACTCTGATTTGGCTACAAGCATGAATCAGTAAACCAAGTGTGCATTTCTGTTAGGAGCACTGTATTATCATTGGAAAAGGCTGATGGATGCTTATTCTATAGAAGTGTAACAGCTCCTGTATTGACTGTCATTCACACAAGTACCTTATTTTATTATTTACAGTAACCAAAATCAGATGTTGAGATAGAAATTTCAATGGAAAAGCTTCAGTTTTGTTGGGACAAAAATAGACCTAAGTTACCCATCATCCAATTCTGTGGAATCAAGCGGTCCCTGAATTGGATGCACAGGCATCCTGGCCATCCCTGGATACTCCATGGGATGAGTCATTGTTCCTGGGTTCTCCGATCTGCCCTTGCGAGGCTTCAGTGACTTTATAGTGTCAGCTTCTAATTCAGATAGTTATAAAAGCCTAAACTTAGATGGCATGAATACCTTGTCGCTTTTATGTATGTGTCAATGGCATGGGCACGATGTGCTGTTATAAGGATGGTGTTGTGGCCTTCTGGAGAAATACATAAAATTAACATTGTACGCCAGAGTATATGTCTATAAACAAGCAATTCAGTGTTCACCTTTTCTGAATACAAAGAAAGCCAGATTGAGTTTGTGTACAGGTCTATATACATAAGAGAATACTGTTTCAGTTTTTTTCTTTGTATTATAAACTATGAATGATGAGAGCAGAAAAAAATATTTCTCATGTCGAGGGATCCTGCTGACATTTTTAATATCAGAAAGATTTATCAAGGCAAGTGCCTGGAGAAATAAGTCTCAAAGTCTTTTATAAGGAAGTCTTCAGAGAGCGGTGCTAATATCTAGGGGATGATGATAGTTCCTGTCTGTTTTCTGTCAAAAAACCCAAATTGCTGTTTTCTCTTTTGATCAGACTCCTCTCTGAATTTAAGGGCTGAACACAATACACCGTTTATAATGGCATAAACCCCATCAAGGGAATGCCTCAAAATTGTTAATTAAAGCAGTGAGTTTAGACATGAAGCATAGTAGAAAGCATATTCTTCCCAAACAAGGTATTTCCCCCAGCTTTAGAACAGATTCCTCTTCTATAAACAAACCATTTAGTCCTTTGGAAGTTCACATTCCTGTCATGTACGAGAGACCTTGCGTGGCACAATGGATCAGGACAATGATCAACGGATCAGGACTGAGAACCTACATGTTACTACTAAAGGCACTAGTGGGGCAAAATGGTCTGGCAGTCACAGCGCAGGGATCCTATGAACTGGGTAACTTCTTGTCTTCCTGACAAGGTTGTCCATAACTGCAGACAGGCCAAAACAAGAGGATTCATTTGTAGATCCTTGTTCCTATGTACTTAATATTGTGTCATAAAAGTTTCTTCCTTCTGAAAAATTAGCAGCCGGTGTGCCAGAAATCCAAGGGAGTGGAAGACAAAGATTCTTTACCACAGAAATCTTTGGAGCTTCTGTCTTTGGACGTTGAGATAGCTTTCATTTGATGAGAGTGCCTATTAGTTTAGTGAGAAAGATGATAAAAGCTGTTGACTGCAGTAGAAGTGGTAGTAGTGCTGTACCCAGCATTGTCTGAGGTAGACAATGAGCTGACAATTGGAAAAAGTGGACCATCTGTGAGGCTCAAAGTCCTTTAATTAGATGCTGAAGATGCAGACAGTTCTTTTCAATATTTAGAAAAGCAACACAGATTTCTAAAATGCCTATAAAAGGATAGGCAACCATCTAGACTAAGGGTATCTATTTATGATACTGCAGATATTAGGATGCAAATATGTATAGTACATCTCTAAAAGATGGATAGGCTTTTCCTTTCTATTGGATTGCTAGAGTCCCAGCAAAGGAAATATAATACCACCACTGTAACTGAGAAGTAAATTTGGCGAATGAGCTCTAGATGAACAAATTTAGATTTAGAAATGCTGATGAGATCTAAGAATTTTCAAGATGAATTTAAAAGTTACAGTAATCTGTTTCTCATTCCACTGATGTACTTGAAAAATAAAGTGTAGGTTTTCCACATTTCCTTTCATCTCCAGTGATCTTTGCAAATGTTACTTATTTAAGTTTCAAAATCCTCATAGATATCCATAGGTGAAAACCGAAGCATCAGAATTAGCACGCTAGTCACAGAACATGAATAAGTATCAATTAATAAGGGTGTCTTATACTGATAAAATGGAAGTGTTTTTTCTAAGGTCACAGCAGAATCGTTGTCAGAATCTGAATTAGAACTGAGCTGTTCCTGGTTATTTGTATAATAACTTAAATTAACTCCTTTCCTCTGTTCATGTATGGATGTTTTTGGTTTATAGGAACCTATGTTTACTCATCTCAAATACCTTCAAACATTGGCCTGAGGTCTCATGGCCATTGGTGTTCATGCATAGATGGTTTTGGTTTATAGGAACCTATATGTTCACTCATCTCAAATACCTTCAGACATCAGCCTGGGATCTCACAGCCATTGGTGTTTTTAGCTGGTTTACACAATCAGTCTTCATTTCCATAAAGATAACTAACATTTCTCTTGCTAAGGAGTTAGCACTTTCTTTTAATTATGGCATTTCAGTATTTAAAAACAGTTCTCTAAAATTCAAAGAAAATAATGTGTCCCAAAATATGTTATCTTAAAATATAAGCAACCTTTGATATGACTTAAAGAAAGCAATTTTTATTCTTAATGAATTTTAATAACCAAGATTAAGGGACTTCTGCTACAGATTACTGAAACATACGCATCAAAATATCTGGAAAGAGTAAGGCATACACCTACTGTTAGAGAAATACAAAATGGCATGTGCAGAATATGTTTACCTGACTTCAGGTGCTGGGATTCCTACCACAATGCAGTCCAATTGCACTTTGGTTCCTTCAGGAACTTCCCTGCTCTTCAGTTTTTGAGTAAAGCGTGGTGGTTGTCCAATAGGCTCATCAGAATATACAGATGCAGATTCTGACTCTGGTTTTAGCTCTGCACTTGTTAATTGACTGATAGATTCCAAGTTTGCCGTCTGTTGATCATCTGTTTGTTCAAATGTTTTCTCTGCTTTGTTTTCCAGGTCTTGAGGTACTGGAATGGAAAGCCTTTCTCTGCTTTCTGATGTGCTAGATAGGCTAGAGCTACCTTTTTGCGCAGACTTATTCTTCGAATCGATTTTGCTCCTGTAGTTTTTGCATGTTCGGGGTCTTATTCTTTCAGAATTGTGAGCTTTGAAAAGTGATGAGAGCTCCTCAATAAAATCTGCTGCCTTGTTTAGGAATTCCTTTTTTGATTCTGATTCAGAAGGAAGGTGTTGCTTCTTTAGGTCTTGAGAGCTCCCTTTGGAGCCCTTTGTATTTCTGACACGGTCCTGACAAAAGTTTGAGTGCAGGCCATTGTCTGATGTTTTCAAAGCTGAAGACTGGGCCATTTGTTTGTGTTTTCCTGTGTTTTTCAGCTGATCTGGGGGATGCTGTGAACGTGCCTGAAGGTCATCCTGTTTAGTTTCCAGTGGATTCTGACCAATAGCTTGTCTTGCCAGGTTTACGCTTTCATCTAACTCTTCTTGGCTCAAAAAGGCAGAGAGATCTGGAAGGTCATCTTGGGCAGCCACCTCATCTGAATCACCAGAAGCATTGCCATAATGGAAATTATGAGAAGCTGGTTCTGATCTGCTTCTTTCACTCTTCCCTTGATGTTTAGTTTCAGCTAAATAACTTTCTCTCAGAAGCTGAGATATTGAAGTTGAGGATTCTAAACTGTCGTCTTGCATGCTGCCAACAAAAAGGACAAATAGGACCACACCTTATCAATAGCAAATTTTTTGATTGTACACAATTACAGGCTGCTGAAAAGCAGAACACATTTTCAAAGTGCATCTGTGTGCTGAATATTAACTTGTAAGTCTAGCCTTGTTTTAAAGGCCTGCTTCTGTACATACTGCCAGATACTATTGCCTTTACCCAGTAAAATCCACCTTTTATCACTTTCTACTGTTGGTAGCCTTGCATAGCTAAAGCAACGGCAAGTGTGGTAATTTATACTTTGTTCCAGGCAAAACTTCAACTACAGAGCTATTAACTGAGTTTCAATGTCAAATCTTTGTCATTGCTGATGTGTGTTCCTTAGCTAAGAAACAACCTCATCAGGTAGATAAAATGCTGGATATTTCAAGGACTGAAAGTTGTGAGGGAATAACAGTATTTTTAAATTAAGTAAATTTAGCTTGGAAGACACTGAAGTAGTAAGTAGATGAACCCTCAAAAAGCATTTGAGGGATGAGAGGAGGAAGGAGAAGGGGAGAAAAAACCAAAAATATTCTATAATGACAATTTTTCATTTAAAATTCTTAAAGATATTACATTATAGGAAACAATAATGGTGCTAAATGTACTATGCCTTCTTAAATTAAATATTATTTCTAATAAACTATTTAAAGTAGAGAATTATGTCATTATTCGATATGAACATCATTTGTACAACAGGCCTTTCAAAATCATTATCTTATGTCATCCTGATTCTGAAAAAATGTACCACAGATGAGAAGACAGTATCAGAAAGCCCATATTTAACCTGCATGCCTGATAAGCAAAGCTAAAGTATCTCTTTTTGTTCTTAAGTAAGTACATCTGCCTAATATTGTCCCTTTTATTTACACAAGAGCTGTGATGAATGTAGAGGGATTCAGACATCCTGTTAACACACTCATCTTAATGTGACTTAAATATGAAGACAAATAAGACAAATACTCTTCACAACCTTTCAGCGAGCTGATACCTCACAGATATTGAAACAGGTGCGTGACTAGTTACTGGATCTGTCTCGGAATACGCAGTGCACGGTACCTCTCTCCTACTTCATTTATGGCCTGACAGGTCTTGCTGTGGTGGTTGCAAAATATTCCTACCCAAGGTGTCTGATTTGTCGCACTGCAGAAGGTTCTGTTCCTGTCGTGGCATCAAGAGGAGGGAACGCGCACGCCCTTGCCTCAGCCATTTCCATTCCTAGCCTTATGTAACTGCTTCAGTTGCCAGAGAGAGAGGAGAAAAGTAAAAAAGGTATCTACGCTGTGAAAGGCTTTCTGCTCTGCTAGTGGGACAGTTGTCCCTGGAAAAAGGATGGTAAAAAGCAAATGATGTGGTAATATCTCAGACACTATTTCTTCCTGGAATGTGAGTTGCATTTCCTTATTTACAGAAAGGAAAGCTTCAGTTTAAACTGTATATATTCTTCTTCAATGGATGAACGTAAAGCTATCATATTCTGATGTGCATTTTGAGACCTTACTCCCTCTGCCTGAGGCACAATTGTTATATTGAAGTTCTTTTTCTTACGTAAATATCTGTGGGTTTAGGTTTATTGATTTTATTGTTTTATTTTGGTAACATGAAACAAGCAAAATCAGTAGGACAACAAAGGCACACAACCAAAACATTAGTAAGTTTGTGCCTGTATGAAAAATGATAATAAAATACCATATCAATTATATGCTTCTAAGCACCCAATCTAGTCCCTGCAGCTGAGCCAGGGTCTGCAATACTAATTGAACACTTGGCGTTAGATTATCTGGCACAGTGGTTCAGTGAAGCTGTGGCACGTAAGAGAACATTGATTTGGGAAGCCCACATGAGATAATGTTGTAAGCTGTTTCATGACTGGACAGAGTATGTAATTTAACCTCTTCAGAGAACAAAGAGGTCTCCGTGAGGCTTAGAGTTCCTGCTCTATGGATACTACTTTTGCTTGCTCAGCTTTTACTTCTTAAACAGCTGTGCAACCTTACTGAAGCTGAACGTGTTTAAGGGGTTATATTATCTTGTTTATGTGCTGATAGCATACTATGTGCTGTAAAGGTCACAGCTGAAGCTACAGTTTCAACTCCGAAGAGTTTAAATACATTCTAACATAAGGAGTTTACAGCCTGGAAGACAAACCTTGCACGTGAATGAACTGCAGACCTGGAATATAGCTGTAACATAGGGCAGGTTTGCTTTAGACCTCCTCCCCATGTGCCACCTCGTATCTACTTAAAAACAGAAGAGAAGAGGGAGAGCCACAGCCAGCTCTTTTCTCTGCACCGTGCAGCTGGCTTAGCCTGCAAAAAGAGAGCAGGGTGTGCTTTTAGTGGGATGTCATAGAAGGTACAGTCTCTCAGAATATCTCTGGAGGGATGCAGCTCCACACTAACCTCTCTACATCTGGCTATGGCTAAATTATAACATCCAGCTATGCGTATCTTTGTGTAGCTTTAGATGCTACAGCGGAAGGCTGTATTTTACATGGTTGGAGAGGTACATATTTTACATGGTTGCAGAATTTAGTTTGCTGTATTTCTTGACCACTCTTTCTGAAACATTTCAGAATAGCACATCTTCATTTCATCTCAATGTCTGTAAATGTCATCAGAGCTTAAAAAAGATGATGCAGTTCTTCAGAGAACACTGGACACTCTAAGGAGGAGATGCAAGTAGGGAAATAATACTGTGTGATCAAAACCTGCCGAAGTAAAATGAGGTTAAAGAACTCCTGCAGTAATGTTGTCGAGAGGGTATATGAAAATCATCTGCCTGTGACTATTCAGGGTTTCATTTTCCTCTGTTGTAGAGCTGTTGCTTGGTTTTCTCATTTAAGTGCTATGTCTGTTTCAACAGAGGTTGTTAATCACAGTGCAGCTTTCCTGCAGGTAACTACAGTAAAGCAAGTGTTTGTTCAGTATGGTTATTTGAGACTTTGTTCTGAGTCTTGCATATATTCTGTTCATCTTTCGAACAATGCATTGAAACATGAAAGAAATAATTCTGCTAATGTAAGAAATAATTTCTGCTAATTCTCTTAAGGGGTATTACTCCAATATGAGGAGGTGCTCTCAAAGAAGATGTGTTTAGATTGGCAAAATAACTTTATAATTCTATAATTTAAAATCTATAATTTGCAAAAAAGTATAATGAAGAAGCCACTGTCTGGTAGCAAAAGGAGAAAAATTACATGCAAATTACTGCAAAGTAACAAAAGCAGGGGTGCCTATACCTGGTGAAAATAAAAAATTATAGAGGAAATTAAAGTAGTCAAATCAAAACTTTCTTGTACTGATGGTTCATTTTGGCTAGCTGTATTGCAGTTGTATAAAGCATCCTCCATTCAGATGACCAGTCTAGACAGCACAGCCGTACGTGGAAGAGCAAAACCCACTTGTCTGTCACAGTCCTGAGTGAACATGTAGGAAGCAAAGGGACAAATCACTGGTTCAACCCTGTCTCTGCCCCTCTGAGGGCAGTTGAGCAGGTGTGAATGGGAGAAAACAAACACTCGCCCAGCAAAGGAGCTGGAACAACTTCCTTCCTTCTGCCCATCCGAACAGAAGGGGTAGAAGGGAGCAGAGTGCTCCTTCTGGTGTTTGGAAGCAAGATATTGATGAGAATGAATCTGATGCCAAATTCTTGATCCTTAGAGAGCCGTCACTTTTCTTTAGAGCTCACCCAGGGTCAGAGTATTATATCTAACTCTTCTCTATTTTCAGCTTGTGTAGAAGATAACTTTTTATTCTATTTTTAGTAAGGAAGAAGTTGGGTACTAGTCAAATGTAGCACTTTGAGGCAGTGCTTGGCTACTGAAGTTTTAAGATATTTTGAATTATGTGATATTTCTAATTAAATGGAAAATGTTGAGTTTCAGCAGATGTTGCTGTGAGGCTACCAGACAATCCAGTTACAATTATTAATTATGCCTTACAATTATTAATTATGCCTTGAGAGATGTCCAGTTTCTTTCTTTTTTTTTTTTTTTCTTTCTACAAGGAGTTATACTCTACAAGGACTACAGAGGACTGATTGAGGGAAGCACTGGGTAGGCTGAGCCATTCAGATTTCACAGTCAGGGGAGGACAGCTTTGGTTCAAATGAGACCAAGAATACAGCCTGACCAGGTCTCTGAGCTAGATAGCAATAAGGCTGAATTCAATATATTTTCTAAAATATCTATTAAACCATCTTTCTAGTGAGCAAAAAAGATACCACCAGAGGAACAACTATGCTAATACAGGGTTGGTTAATGATAATTAATAATAATTTAGCCTTTCTGTAGCCAAAATTGGAATCTAAACTCCAAAATTAAGATCTGATCTTGAATTCAGCCTTTCTCTTTCCCTTTTTTTTTCTTTCCCTGACTTTCTGGATTGTTTAGACTGAGATGTGGAATTGGCCTTGATATGCCTTGAGCCTTCCCTTTAATTTTTCCTGATTGGGACTTTGGAACAAAAACGTCTTTGTGGCTGCACAGAAACCATCCCACGGTCCCCCAGAGCGCAGTGGCACAGAATGCTGGCACTGAGTGGCAGTGTGTGGCAGACCACTGCCATATCATGGGGCTAGCAAAATGTATACAGTAATTGCAGATGTCTCTGATGAGCAGATAACTGAAGACAACCTTGCAGATAACTGTGTTGAGTAAGCAGTAAGAAGGACAAACTAGAAAAAGCACAGTAGACAGCAATCTATGGTGTCAGTGAAAGCACCAATAATTTTGCAGACTGTAAAAATCTGTTTTATAGTGAACCAGTATTAAAGGGAGGAATTGTAATGCAAGTTACAAAAAATAGCCCTAAACTGGTATTATTTAGGATTGAAAATGGGATGCCTGACTCCAGCAGTCAGCAGTTCTCTACTCTTGACTGGTTCATTACCTACATCACCAAACAAATGCATTGAGGGCAACATTTTTTGCTTTCCTGGAACACTAACAGCAGTGACCTTGGGCACCTCTTGTCTTGAGAGGGATCAGAGGATGTCATGAACAAAACGGACTGCACGAACTTCTTCAGTCTGCTAAGTCAGTTTCCACTAGCCAACTAATTGCACAAGCTTTCTGAGTTTCCAAGAGCCTATATTTATGGCAATGTTCTCTTATTAGCCAAGTGATCTGTAGGATAAAATATTCATAAAGGTAGAATTAGTTTCCACAGTTTGTTTTGGCAGTGACTTGACCTGAAAATCCTTACATGGAAGGCAGGAAAATCGCACCCAAGGAAGCCTGCGCAGTGTGACACCAAACCCTTTCACCTCCTCTTGTTTGAGGCTTGTTAGACTCATTGCGGAGTCATCAGTGAAAGAATCTGAGCTTTTCCTAAGAAAACAGCAGTAGTGAAATCTCAGCAAAACTGAAGGGAATCCCGGATATATCTGAGTGCAGATCCTCTGTTTTATTTGCTGAGAGACAGCTTTGAATGCTTGATGCCCTGAAGAAGTTTTTTTCAAACACTCCTTCTCTTTATCATAATAAAGAGGTTATCTGCAAATAGTAGATTTAATGCAAAAAGCATGTGAACATCTTCTTTCACCTTCAGTTGTAGTTAAAAATGAGTAATTCTAGTCAGTACATGTTGTTCCTGTCTGGCTTTTCAAGCTACCCTTACTTTAATTGAGACTGCTTTTGTGTGAAACCCCAGTATCAGGACAGCTAGCAAACTGCTGCTTCTTCCTCTGCATAGTGGCACCTTTGTGGCCTTTACACAGCAAGGCTCTGGACCTGTACGCCCAGCACCTCTGTTTGGAAACTGGAAAGTTTAGCATGTATTAGAGGCTATATCCTTTTCCATTTAATTTAATTGCACATAAATTGCATTTACCCATACACTGTTGAACACTAACAGTTATATGGGTGTTTCAAGTGTATGATTACAGCTATGAAAAACAAGCTAGGAGATGACACAAGTGATCTGTCTTGCAGACCTTTAACGATCACAATCACATTCTTACGTCCTTGCAGGAATTCTCACTTAGCCGTTGCCATTGTCACCGTTTCCGTTACTGCCTGTTGACAAGCTGTAGCTGCTGCAAGACAGATCTTGAGACTCCAGGCATAGGAAAGGTTAGGCTGGAGCAGGGGACTAAGGCTAGAGGTCTTGTGTGTGTTTGGTAGTGTGAATGTAAGATATTTTTAATAATTGCATTTAGAAAGCTATGTACAAGAAGGTGGTTTACCTTTCTTTGTGTCGTTGAATTCTTTTCCTTGTAATGAATCAAGAAATGCAGATAACTCAACTCCCATTTCCAAGTAATGTAATTAAATAATGGAAAATAAGGAGAGAGCCTCCAAGCCCAGGAGTGTAACAGCTTCTGATGGAAACAAAGTCCCTCTAAGAACAAGTAGGCTAAAGTTTATGTCCACATTTAGGAAACATCCTACTTCTTTGTGTGTATTTCTCAATATAATATTTTAATGTTCTAAGCATATTTTGCATTTTCTTCTGTCTCTAATCCATTTTATAAATTCTAGACCTTAAAACGCTCATTTGATTGAAAGTCTAAAAGAGGCTGGTAGCTATTTCTTGCTCGCTGTTACGTGATTTTGTAAATAGTGAAAAGACTGGTGGTGATGGTGTTTTAAGTATCTTCACATACTGCTGCTCTTTGCTTTAATGTAGATGTCTGCTGTTCAAGGGATTTTTTAATTGCTGTTACAACTGATGTATGGCTACTACTGCTTCTGTTCAGAAAAATAAGTAGAATCAGGCCCTCTTCTGTAAATAAAACCTCTAATAGTCCAGCTTCTGCCCTTAGGTACACTGCAGTATAGATCTGGAGCAACTTCATTTTTAAACTGCCTAGGATTTACTTGAAGTAGCTGTGAACAGAATTACTAACTCCTACCTCGCAGCCCATCTATTTCTAAATGCCACACAGT